AATTAATTAATAATTTCTCAAAAAATAATTATTTATAAAACAAAATATATTATATTTTTTATATTATTATGTTTATTTTTTGAAGAATAAATATATTAAGAATAATAATATATAAAAATAATTTCTAAGATTCATAAGAAATCTGTATAATTAATACTAATTATAATTAAGTAACAATTTGAAATTAAAACTAGTTATTGATAATAATTTATAATTAATAATTAGAAAATTACTATAAATTATTATGATAAATAATAATTGATATTAATCAAGAGTATAATTATAAAAAAGTGTTAAAAGAGCTTTGGAAGCTTATTGACACGCTATTGTAAATAATGTTTTAATAAATTAATTTCAATCCCAATTTGGATTTTAAAATAAACTCAAACATATGCATGCTAGTTTATGTTTCTCAAACATGATCATGAAAATTCGATAGATCTAATTTTGTTACGATGTAGTTGTAATAATGACATATAAGGTATCATTTTAATAATAATTACACATTATATTTTTGGATAAATTGCATGAAAAAATAACGTACTTTAACATGATCATATTTTGGGTGACGTACTTTCAGAACTTTTATTTTGGTACCTAATTAGATTTAAAGTTTTAAACATTTAATAATCAATAATTAAAAGTTAATAAGTAATTAAATTAATGGTTAAAAAATAAAAAAAAAATTGCGAAAATCAGATTCCCTCGCTGATCCCTCGCAGATCAACGAGGGATCAGCGAGGGAATCTGATTTTTGCCAAATCTCTCGCTGATCCCTCGCTGATCTGCGAGGGATCATCGAGGGAATTGTCCTATTTTTTTTTATGTGTTATATATACACATTTTTATATGTAGGTATCGTATGTATTCATGTTCGATTTTATTGTGCTTTAACCCATTTAATTGGGCTTTGTTCGCTTTTATCGGGCCTTATTCCATTTATCGGGCTATTTTGAGTTTATCGGGCCTTAATAAATTTTATTCAATTTTATTTGACTTTATTCGGTTTTATTAATTAATTTTTGTAATATTCTAATAAATAATAAATAACTGAAAATTTAATAATCAATAATTAAAAGTTAATAAGTAATTAAATTAATGGTTAAAAAATAAAAAAAATTACGAAAATCAGATTCCCTCGTTGATCCCTCGCAGATCAACGAGGGAATCTGATTTTTGCCAAATCCCTCGTTGATCCCTCGCTGATCAGCAAGGAATCAACGAAGGATTGAGTTTTTGGCATTTCCCTCGCTGATCCCTCGCTGATCTGCGAATGAATTTTTCTCTCGCTGATGTTCGTCGCTGATACTTGGTTTTCTAGTAGTGACGTAATCGGTTGAAACTTTAACTCTTTCTTCTAATAAACCACAATACATAAAAACTAGTTTTAGATTAAGATATCCATGTCAGCCAAATAATACTAAGTTGGATATCTCATCAATTGTCACGTTAGCATGGTAACCGGTTAATGCTTCAACCAGTTACTCATGTACTTAAATGTTTAAAATTTTACATCTTATATTAGAACGGAAGTTTTGAAAATACGTACCCAAAATTGGAATCAAGTTAAATTATGATACCTTTTATGCAATTTGTCCGGTATTTTTTATAAAAATATACCCAAATACATAAGATTAATAAGCACAGGTGGGGTCCATCTAAAACCTAGGAACCATTATTTATGTAAGGCGATTAAGTAACAATGAAAAATATTTATTATAAATTCATGGATATTTAAAAAACAGATTATTTATGTGTTTTTAAAATAATTAAGTTTCCTAAATATACCTAGGAATGGCCACGAGTCGGGTTCGCACTGGTTGTTGGTATCCCCGTCCTCAAAACTGATAACTAAAACTGTCCCCATAACCGTCCCGATCCCCGTCGGGTCCTCGGGGTTCTCCCCGATCCCCGTTGGGGAACCCGTGAAGGGTAAAAATCCCCTTTTTCCCGTTAGTTTCCTCGTTCACCGTTGGTTACATGGTTATACCTGAACTCGAAACCTAAACCGATATGAAAAATATTACAATATGTTCATTTTCACAACAAAAAATAAATTATAATTTTATAAGATGTAAGTCTAAATGTCTCAAACATAACCAAACCAATTATAAACAATGTCTTAGAGCATAATATAAAAGTAAACATAAATTCAAAACATCACACAATTAACATTACGTTCAAAATTAGACAAACTAGACTTTTTTGTAAGCTTTATTTAAACTGTTGAAATAAAATGGATAAAAATCTTTTAAATTTTAATGAAATGATATAATAACAAATTAGAATTTAGATGAAGTCTACAAGATAAACTTTTAATGCACATGGTTCAATTTTCTAACCATACCATTAATTAATTAATTATAGATACATTTATATAAAATATATTATTGTACCTAAACTTTTTAATACGTTATTGTGTTTTCAACATTTGAAAGGAAATGGAAAAGTAAATAGTAAAAAAAAACCTTTTTTATTTTATAATGGACTGTGATCGATAAGTAATCGGGATTTAATATCCAATTTTTGTAACACATATAAAAGTTATAAACATATGTATTACATTATAACATAAACACACGTAAGTATTTATCATTTCCGATATAATATATAGTTTTAAATGGGTCTATGGAAGTATCCAACATCCAAGTTGTTTGGATTGGACTTTGAAGGATAGCAATTCATGACCTTGGGCCATTTAAAACTCCCAATGCAAACATATCTGTTTAGGTGATACTTTCAAATAATTCAACCGAGTTATAATTTACATGTGATTTTATCGAGTTTAGAGACACTATTAAGCTTGTACCAGTGCTCATATGTCCTCGCAGGCACACACCGGCCTTGTCATGGCCCACACTGTCATCGACATCTTGGGTTGTGGATCCACGCATGTACTACCACACCATGCTTTCTTAGGACGTTGACGTCTAACAAACATCATAAATATGAGACAAACAACATTAACATTTCAGAACCATTCATAGCGAAAGCCTTAAACATGCATACATAACTTAATAATTCGTCTCTCTGACATAAATATATAATTCAGAGGTTGTTTACCAATTTTTTTTATTAAGTCTTGTATGGATAAACTTGTATGTCCGGATAAATTTGTCTGTCCGGATAAATTTGTCTGTCTGGAACTCTGGATAAATGAGTGTTGTTGTTTACTTTTTTTTATATGAATCAACAATCTGAATAACATAAATGACTGATTTACCCTCCAATATTAATTATTTGAAAATCAAAACAAAAAATCATAATGAGGCCGAAGATGGGATGTCTCATATGGGAAGAAGGCGGTGCTTTAAATAAGGGGTAGGGGTGTCATTTTTGTGGCTGAATGGGGACAACATATCATTTCTATCTGTGCGATTAAGCCATGTTTTGTGCGAATAAGCCGTAAATAAACAACCCAAATGAGTTGTGCGAATAAGCCAGATAGACCAATAACTCTAATTAAGCCGCAAATAAACAGCCCCTCAGTTGCTAAAATATATGTTTAAACAGATTTATAATTAAATGACATGTAGTATATTATATTAAACTCTCTTTGTCTTTCTTGCATTCAATCAGGGCCAGCCCTGGCCACGTGCAGTCCGTGGGGCCGCACAGGGCATCAAAGCCTAAAGGTCATCAAGTTGTCATTTATTACTAGTTTTGGGTTTGATAATTTGGGAATTGAACAATTAAACTTTAACTATAAAAACAGGCTCAAAGCCTAGTAGTGATGAATACTGAATACACATCATTGGAAAAAGTTGGAAAGTTGGAAAAGTTTTTGTTTGTATAAAGTTGTCGGTATTGCATTAATCTATTTGTATAAGTTGGAAAAGTTTTTGTTTGAGAGAATTTTTTCGCAAATGTAAGAAGCGTATTTTTAGTTGGAAGAGACATGTTTGGAAGAAAAAAAAACTTAGCTTTCTATATAAAGTTTCTCCTGAAAATTTACTGGATAAGTCACTTTCTATATATATCATTAAACCTCTACGAAACATTCATGCATAGTTGAACGAATAAGCTGTTAGTTCCATTAAACTTATCAAGCTGCTCACAGATAGGCCCTTAGTCTTTAGTCATTAGACCTGCAACTTTTGAATTTTACTTTTTGCTTACTATGATAGTAATTTGGATGTAATTTACTATTTTAGTTAAAAAACTAATTAGAGTTTTCCTTCTCTTTTAAGTCTCATATATTGACAATAAAGTTTCTATTTTACTAATTTCACTTTGAAAAAGGGAAAACTGGTAAAGAGGGAAGCACGGTCGTAATCCATGATTTATTTTTTTATCATTTTATATTTTGTATTCGGGGTTTTGGTTTTTATGTCCCCCCCCTTGTATTTTTTATTACAATTAATGAAAATCAGCATGAGGATGATATATTTAGCTTGAATAAGTTCTAAACTTTTAAAAAAACCGCATGTTTCGTTGTTTTATTGGCTTAAAAAAATAGGCTTGAGACATTTTTTATTATTTTCGTACAGGACATCAAAAATCTTAGGACCGGCCCTGCATTCAATCACGATAGATCCTAAGATATATACTACTAGTCAACTTTACACTTAAACGAGTTCATAGTTTTCATAAAAAAAAAGATATTTTTATGCATGTAATACCGTAAATTGGAAAAAACAAAAATAGGAGGACTAAAATTGTCAAAGCATGATAAATAAATGAAGTCAAAGTGATGTTACTCATTAAACAAAGCTCAAGGGACCAAATTGTAAATATGTTATTGTTATATGTTTTTTCTTTGTCTAAATTATTTTAATTTTAACTTTAAATCATCAGTACAAATAAAAAAGATAAATTATTAAACAAATTAAAAACTATATTTTCATCGATAAGTTTGAAATATGGTAAATACATCAACTCTTGCTTAAGAACTAAATAAATTCGTAATGATTAATTCATTCGATACTCAAAAACAAAAATAGGAAACAAAATAATAAGTGTCGAAACATTTTAGGTAATGAGTATGACATATAAATGAAATAAAACAATTATTTCATAATGATTTATTGCCGGAGTCAAAGTCAACATTTTGGAAGATCAGCCGGTGGAGGAGGCAGCTTCTGATTTGCAAGCTTCCCGTCCATAACCACCCACGCCATTCTCAATCCCCACGTCAAGTGTATCTCAATATGGCAATGCATGAACCACACACCTGTTTACAGTTGCATACACATCATCATTAAATTGATGAATTTTATTAGCAATTTGTCGATAAATTAATATTTAATTTCAGTACCTGGGTTGTCGGCTTGAAACCGGATTGCTACCCATCCACCGGAGGGAACGCCGACGGTGTTTCTTTGAACGGGGTCAACGAGGTTGAACTTTGGTGGGTCTGCTGTCGAGTTGAAGTTCCCGGAGCCTTGGCCGACGACGAAGAAGTCGAATCCATGAAGATGTAGAGGATGGTTTTCAGCTCCAAGAGTGCTGGTTCCTTGCAACACTAGCTCCACGGTTGTATTGAACGCCAGAACCACCACTTTGGTGGCGTTAGTCACCATCGTGTTGTTTGGAGTGGTGCCCGTGTAATTGTATTGATTCAGAGGGGTAGTCGGGAAATCCGTGGTGTAAACTCCATTTGATCGCCGGAAAAAGTGGGCCTGGAGGAGTGCGGTTGTTGGCATCGTGAAGGAAACATTGTTCACGCCGGCCTTAAATTTGGTGCCATTAATAGGTCCTTGACATGTCTGGTTTACCGGACATGGGCTGGTCCCCAGGCCGACGGCGAAGAAAAACCGCCGTTGGATAGTCCGCGGAACATTCACCGGAAACTGAGAGTTACCCAAACTACGGAGGCTGCTCGTCCAGTTGGCGACATAAGCAGTGGCGTTGATTGCCGGAAGTGATGGAAGAGGAAGAGCTTTAATATTGGAAGAACTGGATGACGTATTACCATCATATTCAAGAACTCCGATCACAGTGCTGTTGTCAAACGTGCCGGCGGCCGCCGTGGAATACGGTCTGGCGGCCATCAAGAACTTGTCATTGGAGAAGAGGCTTTTGGTTTTGAAAAGAACATTAGTAGTTTGCCCCGGTCCAACGAATATCGTATCGGTCCGGAATGGCTTCACGTAATTTGCATCGACATCAACGACCGTAAACGTATGGTTTGCAACTCTGAAGAAAAGCTCGTCGTTGAGTGCAGCGTTGATGAAACGAAGAAGATACGTCTTATTCGGCTTCACCCTAAGCCTATACGTTTCTGCATGAAAAACATGTACATACAATTGAACCTTCTAAAATCTGTCTACAAATAACAGTTATAAAGAGTAAGAGGATGTTCATATATATATATATATAAGCTCGATGTTCGTGTATGGGACTCCATTATCAATTGAACTCTAGCTTGAATACCCTTTGATGAACAGTTTATTGATGGACCAGGGAGTCCATTAATGGTGAAAGTATCTGAATTGTTGGGGCCGGCCCCTGTTTGAAGGGCCTGGTTGATCACAGCCTCCGGATCGGCCTTCCACCACTCTCCTATCATCCAACGAGAACGTCAAAATTAGCAAAATGCCGTGAATGAGGACAACTTATATCACGAAAATGAAGATGGAATCCGTGATTTACCAAAAATGATCGGGACTTCCTTGTAAGGTTTGACAAACGGATACGAGGCGTTACGTTTAGGGAGAATAATTATCGGGCCGTATAGCGTTACCCTAATCCACGAAACATGGGCATGGTACCATAACGTTCCAATCTGGCCCGTGATGGTGAAGTTGTAAACGTATGATTGACCCGTTTGAATGGGGCATTGCGTGATGTACGCCGGCCCATCGGCCCATCCACTTCGAAGTTGCCGAATTCCATGCCTACCCAAAAACACAACAGATTATATAATCGCACTTCCAACATTCACCAATCTAAAGAGAATATACGAGTATGCTTACCAATGGATGGTGATATTATTTGAAACGTGATTAACCACTTTCACGACCACACGGTCTCCTTCCCTAGCAATAATCCGAGGCCCCGGGAATTTCCCGTTGACGGTTAATATACTCTTTGTCTCGCACAATCTTGTCACGTTTCGCATTCGAATCTAAAAAAACACATGTTAATTAAATTTATACATCGGGTTAAACTGAAATGAATGGAAAGTACGTACGTTAAACTTGTAGTGTCGTGTAACGCCGGTACCACTGCGTTTTGCTAGAGCCACTCCAAGGTACAAGTTAACAAAGCATGTAAGGAAGAGTAAAGCAGCCAAGAAAGATGAAACACCCATGATGTCTTTTGGGTGGGAAATGCAAAGATGGCATAAGAGAAATGTTGTGGTAAGGTTTTTATAGGCATGGTGTGGTGATTGGGTACAAGTTTTCAATGCACATTTTCTTCAGAGATAAAACACATATCACCTACCGTACGACGGACCAAGAATGTTGAGTGATGACGAAGTCATTTTTACATGATTTTGACACCGGTAAAAAATCTTTTGTTTCAAAATCATACGTGCCATCTTGTTTTTAATTAATGAAACGAAGAAGCTGTTTACCAAATATTTACAAGATAAGCGCTTACCGGTAAAATTTAACACTATCGTTTACTCATCGGATAAGATTTTAGTCTACTAAAACGGTATCGTATGCAATAATTTACCCGGTAAACGCTTACCGTAATAAGAGTCGTCGCCCTCACTTACCGGGTAAGACTTTTGATCTTTGTCTCGCTTTTACTGGGTAAGATTCTTGTTCCTTACCGTATTCATCGGTAAGGTAATGTGAATTAGTATTCATTTACCCGAGTAAACGTTTGGTAAACGGTCCCGAAGACAATTTAATGGGTGTTTGGTTTAGTCAGATAAATGAAAATAAAAATGACATTGAATGAAAATGAGAATGAATTTTCATTCCCTCCGGTTTAACCTAGAATCAAAACTTGGGCTTACGGGGGAATGAGTCCATTATATTATATAAAACAAACAGTATAATTTCTTTTATTTTCATTCCCATTAGATTCTTTTTATTTGTTCTAAATTTATTTTATTCAAGTTCACAATCTCTCTCTAACGATATATATTTATGTAATTGATGAATATGAACGAGACATGAAACTTTGGGACTAATAATTTTTTTATCCATTTTGACGTATGTTATGCATGTTGTCAACTATGCTAAATACATATCAATTCTTTTTACGGTAATACACTTTTTAGGATCTCCATTCTTCGATAGGTACCTTCTCTTGTCTATTTGACAGTTTAGCTAATCAAACTTTTACCTGCTAATTATTAAATAACGACTTAGTATTAACTATTTAGAAAGATATTGTTTTGATGCTTTTACATCAGTATTTTCATCGATTGCTTTGTTTACTCATTTGACATAGTTCAAACGTCAAAAACGAATGTTTCAGTGTGATCAAATATAAGGTTGACTCTTGGAAGTGACACGTCTTGCATGATATGACAATAACCGGAGATAAAATATGGAAAAAAGATAAGCTGTTTTTCCAAACTAAATAGATTTACATCATCTGTCATCAGTGTGATTTTCATGTTTTTAAGTCTTTCATCGATAGTTATAAGAGGAAAAAGATGAAGTATTGAATGGTCATCGAGGGAGTCCAATCAGGAGGAAGGAAGCAACTACTACCGCATCATCCCAAAGTAGTAGCTAGGGAGTTAACAAACCGAGATTTAACAAGGGCTAGCTTAAAAACTCTCAAGTTCGAGTTCATCTTGAACACACAATAAATATTGTTTAACTTAACAAGCTGAGCTTCACATGCAACAATACCAGTGTTCAACCCGGCTTGTTCAAAAGCTTGAATAAATTTCTTGAGCCCAGTTGAGTCATATGAGCATACAGAGTTGAACATGTTTATATGTTCATAAATCATATAATTAAGAGTATAGAACATAAGCCAATGAATGAGTTGATTAATCTCGAGTTTGACCAACTTTAATTTTTGTAATTGTATAATTCAAATGTGAAACAAATATTGAACTTGAACTCGAACTTTGATAATTATTCAAGTGCGAGCTCGAGTACCATTTGACAAAAATTCTAGCTAAAAGATGATATTATTTATTAAGTCAAGTTCAAACACCAGCTATTCAACTCAACTTAACTCGGTATATTAATACTCATGAAAAAAAAAGTTTAACGGGTTTGTATATACTTTGTGCACTTCTGTTTTTTATAATATTGACTGTTTTTTTAAAAAAAAATGTAACATATAACTCAAATCATATGCGTGAATAATTGGATAACGTAAAAAGATGTATTTTATAACATAAATATTGAATAGTTATCGTTAAAAGTTTAAGTAATAAGTTATAGAGTAAATTACATTTTTGGTTCGTGTGGTTATTTATTATCAATTTTCTTTTTTATTTTAAACTAATTACGATTTTGATCATTATGATTGCCATTTTGTTATGCTTTTGGTCACTTGGTGGACACTTTGTTTCGGTTTTTATACCTCTACTTAACTTCTATTAAAAAAGACCGTTAACTAAGGGGCTAGCATGTTAGTCTTTTTACCATACTTTTTAATTTTCAATTAAAAAAATAAATATAGTATTATTATATTGTATTAAAGAATGTTGTATATTTTTTATATATAAGCCCACCCGACCCCTACGTCTCCTACCCCTCCCTTTTAGCAGCGTGTGATAACTGGTTAGTTGGTTATTAAGCTCGGGGTTATTTTTGAGAAGTGAATATTTCTCTCCCGAAGGTGTGGTAGCAAATATGTGGCCTTGTGTTATGAAAGACAATGGGTTCTGGGGAAAAGTCAACGACGATGGACTCATGAATTGAAGGAGAGAGGGAAGTCGAGGGGAGGATGGTTTCTTTTGGTGACGCTTGGGTGGAGGGAGCCGGTGGAGAGCCGCCGGAAAAAGGTGAGGAATGAGGAAGCAAAATTGAGTGGTTCTCCCGATTTAATATATAGGGGTTAATCATTTGAGAACTTTAAAATATTTGAGATCCATGACACCCGTCGTAAGCCACTAATTGATGATAATTAAAGTTATTAATTAATGAAATAGTTAAAAAGATACATCATTTATTAAATAAAAATTAATTCATTTTTTAAGAAATTTCATACTTTTTTCTCTCTCTATCTCGTTTTTTCTCTCCTATCTACGTATTGACATAAACACCGTGCACACAAGATGAAGACATTCTGAACACAATATAAACAACCTTAATTAAATTTTTACTAGAATGTTCACAAATGTATGTTTAGATTTAGTTTTATTGATTTAGTTTATGTCCACAATATGTTCATAACTTATACTGGATCTTGTAGATTTAGAGTGTGCTCATTATATATGTTCAGAGACTCTAATAACATTTCTAAAAAATATTCACAATATATTCATCTTGAATTCATATTTAACTACGTATATGTTATGGAGTGAGGAGAGAGAAAATAGGAAAAAGAAAAAAATATAAAGAGAGATGAAGATATTTTTTAATTTATATTAGAATTTATTTTTTAACTAATTTTTTATGGTTTAAATTGAATATTATGAATTTCATAAATTACCATTTATTAAAATAATGATTCCTTTCTACATACTTAAAGCCTTTGCTAGTCTTTGATTTTGTCAATGGGGCTTTAAATATGTACCAAAAAACTAATATGCAAATAAACTAATAACTAGTAACTGTTGTTAGGATAGTCGGACAAATCAATGAGTCATCATCAAATCAATAAGCGACCCAACAACAACAATAGTAATAATAATAATAATAATAATAATCTAATATATGTATTTAATATTTTCATTGAAACTTAAAAAATTAAGGGAAAAGTTCAGAAAAATTCAAAAAACTATCTCATTTTGAATGATTAAGTCTCTAAATTACTATTTTTTTAAACCATTAAATTTCTCAATTTGAATGATTAAGTTTATGAACTGTTTTTTTTGAATGAAAAACCATTAAACTTTCTCATTTTGAATAATTAAGTCCCTAAACTTTTTTTTTAATAAATAAATTATTGGACTTCTAAAAATCTGTTACCTACATTTTTTTTAAATACATGTAATTGACTAGGAAGATTTTAAAGTAAAAACAAATGGAAAAAAAAAACCTAAGTCAGTTTTACCCTTCATAAACTCTACGCCATTAAAACCCCTCACTAACAACCGCATCACTCCCCGTCGCCATTCCCATTGCACAAACGTTGTATGTTTTTTGTATCGCCTAACATGTTGTTGGCCCCTGTCATCGATCCCCTTCTTTTTGATCTATTTTTATTCATTAAAAGAAGGAGAATCAAAAGACAACCGATTTATAGATGGTATTTTTTGGGATAAAACGATGTAAGTAACCAAATTTTTAAAAGTTCAATGGTTTAATTTATTGAAAAAATTTAAAGATTTGATCATTCAAAATGAGAAAATTTAATGAGCTTTTAATTTAGAATAAAAAAATATTGAGTTTTTCTCTCTCAAAAAAAATAGTTAATAGACTTAATAATTCAAAATAAGAAAGTTTAATGATTTTTACCATTCAAAAAATAGGTACCAGTTTACTAAACGCTTACCCGGTAAGTACTTACCGGGTAATTTTCCTCACCGGATGAACATGACAAAGGCCAATAATCTTACCCGGTAAGAGCGATGATAAAGATGGAGAGTCTTACTCGGTAAGTGAGGGTGATGACTCTTATCCGGGTAAGCGCTTACCAGGTAAATTGTTGTATATGATAGGTTTTGATGTACAACAATCTTACTCAATAAAATAAATTATAATGTTAGACTTCTAACATTAAACACTTAACGGGTAAGCATTTAAATAAACGACCCCTTAATCATTTAAAATATAATAGTTTGTTAGGTTTTTCTAACCTTTTTCAGAAGGACAAAAATGTAATAAAATGATAACCGTAGTAACTAAAAGGTATAATTACTTTAAATACAAATAAAACTTAATAGTCAATGGCTAGTGACAATCATGAATATCAAAAATATAATTTACTCTTAATAATTACAACTTTTTCAGTCCTTTCTTTTTCTGGGAAAGATGTGCGTACACAATCATGCACTACCCTCTTTAATTAGGTGTACTTTTTAATATTCTTTTATGTTCGGTAAGTTTATTTGAGTTGGAGACTCGTGTTCGATTGATTTGAACTTGAACTTCAAAAGTCAAAAGTATCTGGAAGTCTTAAGTTCGAATTTGAGTAGAAATAAAAATCTTTTTGTGACCATGGAAGTTCAAATATGATGACTCCGGACTATCCACGAAATAACAGGTTGAATATCCAGATTAATAAATAAATAAGTAAAGTCTTCACCATAACATGATGTTCCTTATCAACCATCATTTCATCTTCATCTTCCATTTGAAACCGATCAAACTTACAATCACAGTTTTCCAAACTCCTTAACCAATTAAGCCCAAAAAGATTAATGAGTTTAAGGTTGAAATTCTTAAAAAGAATCTGTTACTTGTTCAAGAATCAAGACCCATCATTAAGTCACTTTTTTCAACCACTAATCTAGTTGATTAAGACAATAAATCTAAGATTAAATGCATGTTAAGATGTTAAACAAGAAATGTTTCATTGATTTCTAAGCCATTGATTTGTAAAATTGTATGGTTAGTTAGGTTGTGATGGCCACATCATTCTACCAAACGTTCCTCATTAACATCCTACATTTAATTAAGACATAGAAGATGACATTGTACCCTCCCCGGTTTCAGCACAAGTAGGCCGGATATTTAGCAGTCTCCTAGGGGGTGTTGGTAAGCAATTAATGCCGACACCTTATCAATTAAGCCAAAATTAAACTCACCACAACGGAATTACCTAACCACAGTAACAATTGGTTACGAAAAACTCGGTTTCCTGATTCAGATATACACGTACTGGGCTACAATCCCGCTTTGGTAATGCCACGGGTTGCAGTAATACTTATTTTCTCTCACCACAATTAAATGGTCCTTTTATGATGCTTAATGAAATAACTGTTGTCCGTATAAACATGGTACATTAATTGGTTGGTCCCTTCGGACCCTTCCTTTTGCAGGGTTCAAGCCTCGTCGCGTCTCCTTTCCACCAACTTTTTCAAAAAGCATACGCAAACCAAAAAGTTTACACCAAAAATCTCCCGAAAGGAGGGACTCGAACCCAACTCGACCAAATGAAACTTTAGTGTTTAGTTAATAACTTAATTTCGATAAATATAGGGGAACGCGACTAAAGATTATGGTAGCACCCTTCAGAACTACTGCAGCAGGACCATGTACAATAAAGTTACATACATCAGTAAAATACATAATCCACCATGCATGATGATGGTATTAAATCCTTTTAATTGACACTCAAATTAATCCCAAATCATGACAACTGCGATGATTCCAACCCCAAGAAGCACAGCAAGAAACTTGAAAAATGGGGTGTCGAAGTAAGACTCTTGTTGAGGCTTAAAGCCTTTGGCTATGAGATGGTGGATAGCTACATACACAAAAACCCCACAAGCAAGACCCATGGAAATGGCATAAATCCAATCTGCTACTTTCCCTTCCATTGTGGCATCAATGGCAATTCCGATTCCAACCCCAATCGGGCTCGAGATCCCGAAGGCGAAAGAGTAGATCATGGTTAATAAGAATGGCCTCTTCGGTATCAATCTCAGGAGTGCAATCCCCATCGCGACCGCTGCAAATATCTTGTGCAAAGAGATTGTCCATAGATTTCTCCATGCATCTGCTTTGGTTGCTAAAAGAACATAAAACAAAAGAAAGCTTTTTAAACTTTACGATAAATTCGCTTTTTGTATGACATCAAATATGTTTGAACGCCCTAACTTTATGATAAAATCTTACGTGGTAATAAGTTTATATGACGTTTTTTGACGTTGTAATAAGTTTTTTAAGACACTTTTAATATAAAGCGTTCTATTAGCAACTTTATAAGACACTATTTGAAGAACTGTCCTATAAAAACAAGTGTCCTATAAAAAAAATGAGTTTATAAGACATTTTCTCAAAAGTGTCCTATAAAGTTGCTAATACGACATTTTGTACTAAAAATGTCCTAAAAACTTGTTAAGACGCGCAAAAACGTCATATAAACTTATTACAACACCTTTAGATATGATGCTTTATATTTTGGTCCTGTAAATTAAGTCCTACAAAGTGGTCTATTGGAATGCTTAAAGATTGAAGATGACTTATAAACTCAATTTTGTTGTAGTGATAGTAACAATATAATTGGATTAAGGTTATGCATACAAATGTGCGAAACTAAGAATTATATAATATAAATATATATATATGAACATATCTGTTGGTTGGATGAAGGCAGCAGGCATGAGAGTTGGTATGCAAACAAAATTTCATCTTTTTGCAAGCGAGTATATAACATTTATATAATGTAACAAATAAATTCACGTACCCTCATTATTTTCAGTGAGTTTGAACCCTTGACCTTTTAGGAGGAGAAAAACTCACATACCACATTAGGACAAAGGCCCTTTGGTTTTGTTCTATATATTTTTATATCAATAGTTCAATATTACTTAGATTTGTTATATGTATAGAATTAAATCGAGTGACGGAAAATATTCATAAGTCACCGAAAATTGAATACATACTTGTTCAAAAGATTGGTGGCAACCCGCCTTCCAACCTGTTACACATTGTAACAGGTTGAGTTGGATTGAGATTTTTTAAATTGCCGTAATGGGATTGGTTTGTTTGAATGCCTGAAACCGTCCAACCCAACTCATATGCACCCCTACTTTATAGGACTTATGTTTAATTATATCACCAAATAAATTTTTAGTTTTATATATGTAAAGTTGTTACAATAAGTTTATAATATACGCATTTAGGCATCTTAACAAAAAGATTAGAACATTTTTGAAATGAAACGTCCTATTACTCTTTCTATATTTGAAAAAAGTGTTCCATAAAAAACGAGTGGTTTCTAAAAAGAATGTGTTCATAGAACATTTCTCTATACGTCATATAAAAAACTAGGGGTTATTTGGTAATTACTAAATGGTTTGGTGCAGAATTATTAAGAGGCTCTCATGATATAGTGTAAAATAAAATATAATTGTTTGGTAATTGTGTACAATGAAATTAAGGCTCTTAATGGTTAAGAGAGATCTAGGATACAAAATCATTCAAAGGGTTTTAGAACCATTAAGGGGCATACTTTTTTTTTGGCCAAACAAGATACACCTCTTAACAATTCAGAAGTTGCCTCTTAATTGAACTATTAAGAGGTAAACAAACAACCCTTAATTATATGATACTTATTTCAAAAATGTTCTAAAAAACTTGCTAGAAATACCAAAAATAATCTACGATCGTGTTGTAAACACATTTACATATGACATATAATTGTTTGGTCGATAGAAAACCCGGTTTGTTATATTGATTTATGCCAGGTGAATGTAGTGTTATTATAGATCCTAATTAACAAGCACAAATTTAAAAAGAGTAGAAGCTTACATGAGACACCAACAGCAATACCCTCGAAAATAGAATGGAAACACAAAGCTAGGATGAGTAGAATTGTATCGCTTAAGGAGGACGTCCTCACAAGAATCGGGTGACTATCCTTTCCATGCTCCGGCCGCCTATCGCCGCCAGTCGTCCTCCCCTCCTCCACCTCTACCCCCACCTTATTATCTTCTCCTCTACCACCATGATGACCTCCTTTTCCGGTTACATATAATATCAAGCAGTCACCAAACATGGTGAGAAGATAGCCTGCCGATGCCAGCATGAAAGCAAAAGGGTAGGTTTTTGAAGTCAAATCACCGAAGGTTTCATTAGCATCACTCAAGAAATGCATGAGAGAAGTCCCTAAAAAGACTCCGCCGGAGAATTGAGTGCCTAACAGTAGAAAGCTTTCGTTCCATCGGTAGAAATAAGGGGAAACGCCACCGGCGAAAGTGGTGACAAACAAGATGATCAAACAATAAACTTTGACCAAGACCAAGCCTTTGGCATGCAAATTGTGGGTGCCGTCGTCATCATCGTGGCTTTCGCCGCCGTGACCAGAGGTGGCGGAGAGGTGTAGAGAGAGAAGAGAAATGAAGAGAAGAGCTGAGTTTGAGTTGACGGAGATAGCCATGGGAGCTGAGTGGTTAATTAATTTGATCACTGGTTTTCTTAATAGATATGCATATATCATCTTCTTGTTAATTAGGGTTTGTAGTACAGTGTTGACTTTACTATAGTTGTACTACTTCACCACCAGTTGTCCTTCCAGATGTCAACTAATATATACATATATATATATATATAGAGAGAGAGGAGTGATCAAATGAAAACCGCCCTCGTTTGTATAAACCATGCAAACAACCTTCATCTGTCGATTTCATTGTTTAATCTTATGAAATTTTTTCATGAAATTGTTTAATCTTGTGAAATTGTTTCATATAATACTTTTTTGGTTGAAGTTGTTTCATATATGGTTGTGAAATTGTTTCATATAATACTTAATGAAACTGTTTCATGTATTTTTCTAAAAT